GCACGTGCGTACCAGTGGCATGGAAATATTAAAATTTTCACAAAAATACTGAGATTTTACACAAAATTGATCCCTTTTATATGCCCTCGATGTCTCTCAAAACGCAGAGTTATTATTTCAAAATTTCCTGGGGGAGGTCCAGACTTTCTTGATATTCCCGCCTTTGGCGGTCGTTTAGACCCCCAGATCCAAAATACATGTATGTGTCGCGGTCCCTGACATATGCGTACTATCCAAAACGTCCACGCTACGCGTCTGAAAAGGTATTAATACTTTTTCACTCTATAAGATTTTCACTCTGTCATTGCTAGTATGTAATAGTCAAGATATTAAAATACTTTTTCACTTTATAAGATTTTCACTCTGTCATTGCTAGTATGTATAAACACATTTGAAAACCAAATGTAATTTTCAGGGAGAAGCCAAAGGCACAAAGAAGCAATACATCGCTGCACAAGGATGCCTTCCAGCAACAGTGGAGGATTTCTGGGCAGCCATTTACCAAGAAAACTCTCGAATTATTGTCATGACAACCAAAGAAGTTGAAAAAGGAAGGGTTAGTGTTGGGCTTTAGAGCCACATGAACCATGAAATAAAAACTAAAAGTACTAACTAATAGGCACTATTACTGTAGTTCCTAATAGTCGTTAGCACTGAACCAGAACAGTTTATTTGATCCAATAAGCAATACCCAAGAGACCATTATAACAATCAAAGTAATCTCTTTGTACTGTTCTGGTTCAGTGATAKTGTCTAAATAGTACCTATTAGTTACTAAGTATTTAGTTTCTATTTCATGGTTCAAGTGACTCTGCTYTAAAGACCCGTTTACTTACGTACCATTTTAGTTGCGCGATAGCAAAGTGGAGATTATCTCGCTGCAAAAATCGCAAGTGTAAACGTGACTGATTGTGATGTTCATTAGTAATTTCATGATATTGAGCTTTGCTCAAGGGAAAAAGCCAAAAATCGTTGGCCACAAGAGGGACCCAATTTAGGAACAAGGTGGGGTGGTATTAGGGAACCTGCCACTAAGAACGGCTGCAAAATTCGCGTACTTTCAAAGGTTGTAAATTTGATCCATCAAATTTACATGATTTTGGACACTTACATCATGTTTACATCAAATCTACAAATTTTTAAGTGCGCGATTTTTTCCAGTAAGGAGACTACTCAAAACCGTGCGCAATTTGTAAATGTCCATTCATTTGCAATTTGTCAGTCCTGCAGGTGACTGTGAAGTGCAATTTATATGTAATCATGTAATTTCATTGTTTTAGAATAAATGTACAAGGTATTGGCCTGATCCTGAGACCGTGAAAGATGTTGGTAATTATCACGTCAAACATATCAAAGAAACTGAACTTCCTGATTACATCCTGAGAGAATTTGAACTCACGACAGACAACGATGTAAGATATAATATTTAGATTTTGATATTTAATTCATAAGATGAATTTTGTACGGAGGGATGAATTAAATGTGAAATTCAATATGAAGCGACGTTGGAATTGTTTTTCTTCCGAATTTATTTTCAAGATCTTTCGGCCGGAATAACCTTCTAAGCACTATAACTCGTTCCTTTATTTCCTTTTTACGAAACTAAATATATCGTTGACTGAAAGAACAGCTAAAGCAAGTGTTTCGGAAACTAATTTTATGGTATTTTATCATTTATAGTGTTTCATTTCATTCTTAAAATTCTTTTTTCTCATTTTCATCTACTTATAGTTTATATTGTTTTCATCAATGCTGACGTCATTGATCTGTGCTTATTGCGATTTCCATTCTCATTCAGTATTTTTTTTCTTTGCATTCTAATTTCGTCTAATTTCCATTGTCTTTTTTCAAGTGTTTGTATTCATTTTATTGTTCAGTTTATTCCAAGAACTATCTACCATTTCCACTACACTGGCTGGCCAGACCACGGCGTCCCTAAAGACCCCAGTCCAGTGTTAAGTATTTTACAAGAAGTAGATCTAAAGCAGAAGGCAGTATTATCTGCAGGACCTATCATCGTTCATTGCAGGTATGAAAAACACGCATTACTTTTGGATGGGCCGAGAATACTCCATTTTCGAATTCAAAGTGAATAGCCGCTGTTTTATTTGACAGCAGATTCTCTTACGCAAAGAACTTTCCAAACACAATAAGAAAACATGAGACTAAATGTTGTCAGCACAATAGCGCTAACAATTTACATTTTCCCCGAGTTGAGGCCTAACCCTGTATCCCCAGAAGGCCTACAGGGTATACAGGGGATACAGGGTTAGTCTCAACTCGGGCCAGATGATGTGACCATGGGACCATTTTTAATTCACCTTTATTTAGAGACAATTTGTCTCCAAATAGCCAATTTTTGTTAGTATTTAGTTTGATTTTATTTCATATGGTTTTTCTGTGTTTGCTCTATAGTCCTCTGAAACTTTTCCGTCATGTACCGTATACGCAATACATATGTTTTCTCTAGAAACTAAACCCACAATGCATTGAAATTCAAGTAGTGACGTAAAAGGCTCAGAGGTTGTTTTCTAACTGTTTTGTTCATTTTAGTGCTGGCATTGGAAGAACAGGTACTTTCATCGTTATTGACAGTCTGATACATCTTATCAAAGAACAAGGTAAGTCACTCTATGGTTAATAGTATAGATTGTGTTCTTGGGCAAGACACTTTACTCTCTCAGTGCCTCGTCTTCTCGGAAAAGGACGTAAAGCTGGAGGTCCCGTCTCTCTACACTTCTCATTAGCAGCAGAGGGACATTAAAGAACCCATACCACTATTTGACTAAGAGTAGGGCACGGAGTTCCCGGTGGTGTGGCCAGGGCTCATCTCACCAGCATTGAGGTCGGCTTGGCGTAGTGTTCGTATAAAGGTTACKAGTCAATGAGACCTCATACTAATATACAGCTAATAACCCTATGAACAGTGCTGAGTGCTGGTACTATGTAGATGTAGCCATGGCGACCCACGTGCATCCAAGAACCTTWGTAGTGATCGTTTTGTTTGTTTCACTGACARTCTTTTTGCTGAAAAGTGATTGGTTCAAAATAAAAGATGACGAATTTTCGTAGAGAACATGATTTTCGTGACAACATTATACTCAAAGTTTCTTGAATGCACATGGGCCTTCTGAATAGCATTGTGGATTTAAAAAGATGAAATCATTGAAGTTAAGGCCAAAGGGAATTATTCAACAAAGGAGCGTTTTATGATAAAATCGTCTAACGATTTAATTGGTTACAGAGTTTTAATGAAGTGATTTTTTTTGGCAGGTCTTGACACAGAAATTGATATTTCAAAAGCCATTCAAAATGTTAGAGCTCTGAGATCTGGCATGGTTCAGACAGAGGTAACAGAGGTTTTATAAGCGCTTTATAAGCTTAGA